GGGAAGATTTTTTTAAATATTGAAGTTAAAAGCATCAATCTGGTGCACTTTGAGAGCAAAATGGATACATCTCCCAACACCCATTTGAAACAGAACTGTAAACAGATTTACTTTTTCTTTATGGATATTTTACAAATCACCCTTTTAAACTTTATTCTGTTTTTAATGTCATTATAGTATTTCAAACCTGTTTTTCATTTATTCTCTTATTTTTTTATAACTATAATGATCGTATGAAGGTGTGCCTCGGAAATAATTGTTTACATTAATCGTGACCAAAACGTTTGAGACCCACTGAGATAACTTAGACTAAAGTTAACTAAACACTGAGAGAGTCCTTTAGCTCACTGAGTCTCTCAGTCTGACTGGAGAGGACTCTCCTCCACCTTGTTGTTGAAAAAGCTCCTTATATCCGTTAGCGTAGCTCGCTAGCACCAGAAGCTAACAACAATGATCTCCGGTACCGGTGCGCTCTCTCTCTGTCTCTCGCTCGCGCACGCACACAAAATGGCTCGTTCCACACACACACAGAGCCGAGCTTGATTGAAACACAGAGACCCAGACGTAATTGTACTGTACTGTATCATTTTCTTTTTTTTTAGTAACCATTTTTCCTCCTGGTCTCTCGCTGTCATGCCTCTGCGCCCCCCACTTTGAGAAACACTGGTCTAGCGTGTTAGCATGCTAAAGTGTGCTGCTGTACTTAGCATTACACATCATGTACAATACAGGCAGACGATAATGTCAATAGAGAGTTTGGCCCCTAATTTAATACATTACAAAATGCACTTTTCCAACAAATAAATTGTGGTTGAGCATTTAATATATTATGTTTGAATGTAATAATACAGTATATGTCATTCATTTTTTAAAGTCATAAACCAGAGGAAAACTTCAAGTTTAGACGTTTGCGCATTTTACTCAAATACACAAACGTCGACCTCACTGTGGAGCTTCTGGAAAGATCAGTGGGTTCACTACAGTTAGTAGGATCTTTTCTCTGAGCAACATGAATGTCATCTGATAGAGGTTAAGATATAATAATCTGAATCAGTGCACCAACCAACATTACCTTCCAAAAACGACTTCACATTCTGCTGTATCAGTTGGTATAAATGTGTTTAATTTTGTCCCTTTTGACAACTTTTTATAGTGTTTTATACATATATTTAAACTAAATAAACCAATTTAAATAAAATATAATTTTTTTACATATTGAAAAAACACTATATGTTGTATAATGGTTAGAATATTTGCTTTTATTCTGACCTATATTTGACAGCAGCACTGTTATCTTACCTTTACGCTAACATATCAATCATCTCTACTTATGTCAGAAGCCTTTGTGTAAACAGGTGCATATTCTCCCACGAATGTATAGGAACAGCCTCACATGTTATCGTAAAGGAGGGGCTGATGAAAGATATCTATAAAAACTCCACCAAAACGCAGATCTTCACTTCTACCAGTCATACAGGTAAGCAGGAGGCAGTTCTCCTTTTCTACGCCGGTGTCTCTTTTTAAATGAATTTATTATAATTATTCTAAATCTGTATAACTTTTTGTTTTATCCAGGTTGTGGAGAAAACATGAACGCGTTCCAGGTAATTTCCCTCACTCTACTGTCCGTTCTGGCGGCCAGTGCTCAGGTCATCATGCCAGGAAGATGCCCCCAGACGGGCGTCCAGGAGGACTTTGATACTGCCAGGGTGAATACAAACTTTATTAAACTCTGTTGGGAAACAAGGCATCATTTCATTTATATTTCATTAAGTTCCAGGAGTTAGCAAATGAGGCCTTCTGGGACCTGCTGTAATAAACAAAAATTGCAAATGAATGCCTCAAGACTCTGCAGCTCTTCATCAACAGTAAATTGATGTTGTGTTGTTGTGTGTTTCCTCTGCAGTATCTTGGTAAGTGGCTTGAGATCCAGAGACTGCCACACACCTTCCAGAGGGGCGAGTGCTGCACTGCCACCTACAGCCTGCAGAGCCCCGGAGTCGTTGGTGTCCTCAACAGCGAGCTGCTGTGAGTACTCCACATGCATACATTCACTTTTTCATGAAGAGTTTGACCACTAGAATGTACTTTCTGCAGCTATTACTTATCAAAAAGGGGGTTTTACTTTACTGTGAAGGCTAAACAAAGTTTTGTGAAGCCTGTGACTGTCAAAAGTCAAATCAGCTCAAACCAAATATATTCCTCAGAAATAAATAACTGTAATTTACATTTACTCAAGTACTTCTTACAATACATACAACTTTGATGTATTGTTACCATGCTTGACTTTTTCAATTGTACTGTATGCTATAGGCTTGTACTACACTACATTATGGATGGGACTACTGTGCTCTTACTTTACTACTATATATTGAATATATATTACATTTAGATGTGGTTACTTTACAGATTAAGAGAGCACAAAATAAACACATGATCAGGTTATAAAAACATGATGCTGTGGTTTAGATTAAACTATCCAACAGTTTATAATGTAGGTAACAGAGGATGCTACTGTTAAAGTTCTCTGTAGCAGCAGTAGTGATATTCTTAAAATATGTTACTCTCTGAAAGGTAGCATACACCAAAAAACTATGACTTTTACTACATTTTTCAGTTCATACTTATTTTGGACTTTCACTTTCAGACTTATATTATAACAAAAAAATATTCCACCACTTTGTGCAAATCTTTCTAAATGTATGTTTTGTTTCTTTTAGTTCTGATGGTACCATTAGCTCCATCAATGGTTCTGCCACCGCCAAAGACCCCTCTGAGCCCGCCAAGCTGCAGGTCTCCTTCTTCGAGAGTAAGGACATCTTATTTATTACGAACCTGGAAATATAACTGTTCCAACACTCAGAGTTACAGTTGAAGTGTCCTTTCTATCAATACTGTAGAACAGGGGTGTCCAAACTACGGCCCGGGGGCCAAATACGGCCCGCGAGCCATTTTTAATCGGCCCTCAGCAAATTAAAAAAGTATAATGGAATATGGCCCACAAATTAAACTTGTGCTTGTCTTATATTGTACTTTTCAAATATATATACGTACAAATATATTACACAGTATTCATGTGTTAGTAAAGACATTTTTTTTAAAGTTGAAAACATTTTCTAACGAATGTAAGTTGATAAGACAAAAGCCCAATAACTTATTTACAAGCTTAAAATATACCCTTCATATTTCCCCTTATTATAAGCAATCTGAGGCTTCTGTTTTAAGGAATGAGCTGCTAACAAAATTAAGTAAACCATATGGAGAGCAGGGATGTAGGCAGTTTGTTTCCTAAATCATTTTCAAGTATCAAGAATAATTTACCCACATTTGATTGATTTTACTAACTTATAACTTAACTTATGAGGTCATATATCAGTGAAAAAAGTTTGGACATCCCTGCTGTAGAAGAATTTACATTTTAAATTGACATTACTGTCTCTTTTCACCTGCAGACGCCCCCCCTGCTCCTTACTGGGTGCTGTCCACCGACTACGAGAACTACTCTCTGGTGTACAGCTGCACCGACCTCGGGGTGCTGCACTTTGACTTCGCCTGGATCCTGAGCAGAGAGCCCACCCTGTCCGAGGAGACCCTGGGGGAGCTGCACGGCATCCTGTCCTCCATGGGAGTGAGCGTGCACAAGCTGCTCACCACCGACCAGTCCGAGGCCACCTGCAGCTCCATGAGCCTGTAACTGAGTCAGAGGAGGAGGCCTGCAGGCGGACATGTGGTTAACTTCTCACTGTTTGTCTCATGCAAAGTCAATGCAATAAACGTATTTAAACAGCAGAGCAGGTTGTTTGTGTCTTTTCTATGTTACTGGGAGGTCTGATGTATACACTGTTGATAATGTGTATTGTTGGGAGGTTATAGGTTACAGCTTACTAGTTACCCTTTAAAAAATGAATTAAGAAATCATTATAAATTTGATTACCCTTTGTTAGAAAAATATCACTGGCTTGAGCTTCAATAAGCAGGATAGGATTTAGCCGGGCCGGCTAAAATGATTGGTCGTGCTTTTTACAGCGCCACGGCTTCCACAGATGACATTTTTTAATGTATTTATTGTCAAAGCATTTAATGTATTCATTGCTATCGGGATGTTAAGAGCATTCCATGGAATATAACAAAAAGTGTTTCTGAAATAAATGACATACCCCACCTTTAAGTGAAGCCATTTTAATAACCAGTAAACAATAAATGACAATATGGTGAACTTCATTTGTAAATTGTACAATATGAAGTTATAATTGCTGACAAATACTACATAAAGACACATTAAAATATCTACATTATAATTAGGTATTAACCATGTCTTAAATATTTGTTTACTGCTTGTAAATTCTAATTCATCTGAAATCAGTAAAGCACTTATAGTAACTAAAGACACATATCGGTACAATGTTTTCCTGTGAAATGAAGTGGAGTAGAATTAAAAAGCATAACATGGAAACACTCAAGTGAAGCACTAAAAGGTCAACATTTTACTTGAGTACAGCACTGGGAGGTAGAAGTCAGTTTCAGTATGTAGCACACACACATTTTAGATATGAAATGTTCTTATTTTTGTGTATGTGGTTAAGAATGAAGCTCAAAATATTTGTCGCGATGAGCCGCCATCATTGGAGCATGTTTAATATTTACTGCCATAACACTTATTATGTGCAGAATGCTACACCAACCGCACAGGTCAATAGACACACATCGTCTGTTTAACTGGACCTGTACTGGTCTTTTGCTGCTGCTTGCACACAAAGATCTTTTATACTTCATATCTTTTATAATTTGCATTTGTTTGTCAGCTCTTATTTTATTGGTGCCTTATTTATTCTCTGTAAATGTGTGCAATTTCAAATACAATGCTCCATTTGAGACATAACATTATTGGGCTTGCATAATGAACATTTTACATTTCTTTCCACATGTTTATTGCATTGACTTTGCATAATGTATACGAACGAGGCACAGCACACACTGCATACAGAGGTGTGTGTGTCATGTCATGAATCTATTCCCATATTCCTGTAGAGGCTGAAACAGAAGCTTTTTACTGGCTCATGGCGCTGCAGAAAGCCTCGTCCTGGTTGGTCGGGACCATCTTGCTCACATCGACTCCGATGGAGGACAGGATGCCGTGCAGCTCCTCCACGGTCTCCTCAGGGATGGTGGGCTCTCGGCTCAGGATCCAGGAAAACTCCATGCGGAAGATGCCGTAGTCTCTGCAGCCGTAGACCAGAGAGTGACCCTCGTAGTCTGTGGAGAGCACCCAGTAAGGACCAGGGGGAGAAGCTGCAGGGGAGACGAGAATCAGAGTCAGAGCTGCTTAAATATTCAGTACACAAATATGTATATGTAGCATTTAAAAGATAATGCAATTTCAGGATTCTTGCCTTTTTCAGATTGTATATTCAGGGTTCAATGCCCTTATTGCAAGTTGGATAAAGTTAGCTAAATGATATGTTATGCAACTGAATAACCCGGAAAATGTTAGTTATTAATTCTTTACCATTGAAGGAGACCTCCAGCTTGGCGGGCTCCGCGGGGTCCTTCACCTTAGCAGATCCGAGGATAGAGTTAGTAGATCCATCAGCACTGAAAGAAATAAGACGAGGTAAAACATTAAATAATTACTTTCACTCACAGGTCTATTATTTTGAAGTTCTATTGTATCTTATATCCTCCCTTTACTAAATGCTTTTATTTCATACATTTGAAGTATAAAGATCCATTTGTGAACCTGTGTGTTCAAGGGGCCCCTACACACGGCGGCGTGCGTTGACGCTTGGTGGTGGGCGTGTCTTGAGCTTGGGGAGTTTACGCGAGCAGCGCGACCAACAACCAATCACATGAATCTCTCCTGTCAATTGCATAAAAGGTTTTACATGTCACGCTTTATAAGATGAACATTTATGACATTAATGTCTATGGTGCTATTTTACGCAACATTCCATGCTGGCTAAATACTGTCTATGCCTGCTAGCTGTCCATTCAAACGAAGTACACTGGATATAAACTCCCCAAACCTACCAGTTTCACCCACTGTCTCTGCCACCTCCCTCCATGCCTGGCTCCTCCGGTTTGTATCCCGGTAGGTGAACAGGGACTGAAAGCACCGGGTGATTCCCTACCGCTACGATTATTTTCTCCTCCATTTTTTGGCATATGAGGAAATGAACTGCGGTCTGGCTCTCCCAGCATACACGTGGTTTGATTGGCTAGCGCTTGTACTGGCAGATTTGCATAAGCGGGATTTGATTGGCTGAGCGCCTCCGTCGAAGCTTCAAAAGTAGAACATTGATCTACTTTTGCAGCGAGCACCGCGAGAAAAGCTACGCTTTGCTCCCACAATGCAGTTCGGCGAAGCGTGACGTCATCCCATTCAAAGTGAATGGACAGAAGCGTTGAAGCGTCAACGCAGGCCGCCGTGTGTAGGGGCCGAAGGATTTTGAAACGAAGCTTCATTTATAAAAAGCAAAAAAGCAAATAGTATAATGTGGCTTTAAAAAAAGGAAACATATATACAGCCTTCCATCAAAGGGTTGTGAATTTAGAAGACTATAAAGACATAGTAATCTTAATGTAGGTGCAGTTCCAACAATATCATGACTTTAAGCAGTTCCTTTAGGGAAAAAAGGATAATCTTCAAACCCTTGTATTAGAAAGTGTAGGCCCTAAAGCAGCGTGCACTCACAGCAGCTCACTGTTGAGGACCCCGATGACCCCGGGGCTCTTGGCGCTGTAGGTGGCGGTGCCGCACTCGCCTTTCTGGAAGAATGTTGGCAGCTTCATGATCTCATACCACTTACCAATGTACTGCGGAGGAAACACAAGATTTAAAATTAAGACAACTGACTTCTAGACATTTAGTTTTTTGCAAAATAGACCCGATTATCAAGCTGTACATAACATTTATTGTTAGCAAAGAGAAGAGGGGTTTAGTATTCACCATGGAGGAGTTAAAGTCGGCCTGAACTGCAGGTTTGGGACATCTGCCAAACCTCAGCACCTCAGCGCTCACTGCCAGCACAGACAGCAGAGTCAGGGAAATCACCTGCATGGCCTTCATCTTATCAACGACCTGCAGAAAACACAGCAGCACAGTGAAAACATTTAGCTTCTCTGAGGGTTAACTACAGAGGGAAATAGCTGAAGACATAAAGAGGAAGAGTGGTGGCTGCAGGCTGCTCACCTGTGAGTATTCAGGGTTATTGTGTGCAGGTGTTGAGTTTTGAGGGTCTTTTAAAGATGTCAAGCTTCAATATTGATCACGTTCTTCAGACCCCTCCTGTGTTTCCAGCTAGAAGAGGTGGAGTGAGAAAGTTGGCACCTGTTCAAATAAAGAGACTGTTCAAACAGGCCTCCCAGCTTGAGATGTTTCTAGAAGTAAATCTGTAATTCTTCTTTATCTGCCCATTCATCTAAAAAATACTGACTTTTTTTCCATACAATGTTTTTTAAAGGAAGAAAATTAGACAAGATCCAAAAAACTAAATGTATCCCAGTGGTCCAGTTCACAATATCTTGACTTAAAGTTACTTTTTTCATCAAGCAGATTTTAAAAGTTTAAATAGAATTTGAATATCTTAAATACATATTCTCCTTATCCTAGAGATGATTTCATGTTATTAAAGAAAGAGAGAGCAGCTTAATCATCAATTTTGTTCTTCTGAAAAGAAAACAATTGGCATTTTGCGAAATTTGCTTATTTCTTGCAGAGATCAAGTTAGATGAGACAGTCTCATGTGTTTTTAAAAAAAAAAGCATTAGCTGCTGTTCTCCAAAAATCAAGGTTAATATCTGGACTGAAAAACATTCAAAGAAGCTCTGGTTCTTTTTAATAAACAGAAAACACTTTTCGCTGCACTCTTACCAGTCTTTCAATTTCCAAACAAAAGTGCTGTCTCAGGTGATCATTTATTGCATCTTCCCGCTTTCACAGTCTGTTCACTAAAGCAAGCACAGGTGTAGAGGAAGATGAATTGGGCACAGGTGCATCTGCTTTTCTTGATGCTCCCACAGCAGCTCTCTCCCCCTCCGATTCATTTGTAATCCCTGCCCTGCTTTTAAAAGAAAGAGCTGCAAGGGCCTTGGAAACCACTTTGCACTGGAAATGGGTTTAGGGAAGCTGAGGCAGTCTGGGTCGGTTTATCAACAGAAGAGATGGAGAAAACAAAATCAGACAAAGAGCTGCAGGACAGAAATGCTCATTAAAAACATTCAGAAACAACAGCTTCAGTTGAATTTGAATCAGTTATATATTCATGTCAATGCAACATCTAGATTTGTAATGTTTTGCCTTGAAATGCTTCAGAGAATAAATCTGTTGTCTCTTGATGATGTAAGTCTGTTATTTTCAGAGATGATGTTTAAAGTGTTTGTAAAGCTCAGTCCAAAACAGTCGGAGGCAGATATGTCCCTTGATTCGAGGCCACTGTTTTAGTTTTTCACAGATGGAAAGATTAACTGCTGATTTTCTTTCTGTATATTTTCTTGCATTTTCATTTGTAACATAACACCGATCAACAACCGAAACCAAATCTATACTACATACTAATTTTGTATGGAGAACAACATTTGTATGTATCAGAGCATCGAAAAAGTTATTACGATTCATCGTGAGAGAGGGCAATGTCTGATCCAAATTTGATTGCAAAATTGATGGGATATTTCTGTCTAAACACAAATGCAAACCTTATTATGGTGCAACAAGAACACCATCATTTGGCCAAGATGCTAAAAATACAAATAAAAGCATTTTTTGTTCACATGCATTTCTTTAATATTAAAGAAAACCAATATACTCTTTTAAAGGTGGGGTAGGTCATTTTGGAGAAACCAGCTCGAGTGCGCTAGAATTTGAAAATACACAGCCGGAAAATAAAGCAAATAAAGGCGATGGTATCTTTGTTGAAGGATAACCACATTGTATCAGCCTAAACAAACAGACGCCTCACTCACTAATAAGTTAATGAATAAAAGGTTATTGAATACCCTGAATAACTTTTCCCAATCATTTGTGTCCACTTTGATTGTCCTCTCCATGATGGTATGTTTGTGTTTTTATCATGTTCTGTTGCTTTTACCTCTTAGACCTCTTAGAATATTTAACGAATTGTACGGTGTCCTTGTGTGTCATGAAAGGCGCCTTAAATAAAATGTATTATTATTATTGCCTTAAAGGTCCCATGTCATGCTTTTCCGGTTATTACCCGTCCCCTTGTGTGTTATGTAGCTTTTTCTGCATGTAAACGGTCTGCAAAGTCACAAACCCTGAAAGTACACCCTGTAGCGAGTAAAACTCTAACACAGAAAATACGTGTCTATGCTGCCCCAGAACGCCTCGTTGGAGATTTTCTTTTTCCATTTTGTTCTTCCGGGAACCAAGTGACGTAACGACGACCCCTCCGCGAATTGGTCCAAATGGACCAATCCACGGAGCTCCTCACACACACAGGCCGTTTCTCAATCGCGAGGATATTGGCTTCCAAGCCAATATTGCAAGGATGCTACGTCATCGAGTGCCGCCGAAGGACTGTTCCAATCTCCAGCATACTTGGAATTCCACCGAGGCCGCGTCCTTGGTTTGGGGGAAATTTCGAGGCTGCACATGGGTAGACTTCGCGTCCTTAAAATCCCCACAATGCTTTGCGCATGGACCAATTTCCCCAAATCTGTGGCGGAAGATGTAAGGCGGGGCCTCTCATATGACGCACACTTGCTAGCCTGTTCCACTCTTTGTTTTCCGAATGCCAGGAAGTATTCTTGCCTTGCTTCTGAAGCAAGACGCTCGGCTCGGCTGTGCTACCAAGCCAGCATCCTCGCGATTGAGAAACGGCCACACACTCAGGAGCTCAGGAGCTCCAACAAGCCGTTTAGGACAGAGAGTGAATACACATGCTATACAGAGATGCTGTATGAGAAACCAATGTGAGTTGAGGAAAATTGCACAATATAAATCTATTCTAGTAGACTTCAACAATGGAAGTATGATCAGTAGAAATGGCCATGACATGGGACCTTTAAAGGAAGTCTTCTTTACATTATTGCAGCCTTTAAGACTTATAGGCAGAGAGTAAACACCTTTGTTTTTTTCTATGGATTTGTATCAAAATGTCTGCAGTATATGTAAAAAGTGGTCAATTACATAAGCAACTGTAACATTCCTGGTGACCTGTTTTGGATGTTGTGATGACTGTCTAATAAACTGGTATACTGGTAACAAGTTTCTCTAAAGTGGACAGATATTCACAAGCTGTTTTATTGTATATGCACGGGTTTTGATGTCTGAACACGCTAGTGCATCTTTGTGGGAAAAAATACAGTAATGTTGATCAAATTCTGTCAGAAGCTATCAAATAAGTGTAGGTTAAAGGTCACAGATGAAGCGACCTCAGAAGCAGCAGGAAATATTCTCAAGCTGTGTGTGTCTCACTTTCATATGTTTGACCTTTAACCGTTCACAGGTGCCAGGAGTCCCAACGTGACCCCATGGGTCCCGACATGTGACGTTTACTGTACTGTAGCTGTGACCCTGTCAGTCATGTATGTTTATGTAGCAAAAAAATGTAATAATTCTTCACTGTGTTTTGGATATGACAAACGTTTGAGATAATTGATTGATGTAAGTCACGTATAAGACGTTAGATTGTCAAAGTTGTAATTTTCCATCGCAGATTGATCTTTTATAACTCCCCATGGTAGAAGAAGTACTATATTATACTCTACGTAAGGCCAAGTACTAATACTTCATAATAGAAATACACTGTTACAAGACCTGCTCTCAAAAACACGTTGGCATCAAAATACACTTAAAGAACCAAAATAAAAAGTACTCATTATGCAAAATGTAGGTATGAAAAGTACACGTTATGTTTTTTGATTATAATTATAATAAATGTATGTTGCAGCTTGTAGATGTAGAGCAAATGTATATACTTACAACTTAAACTTTACCTGCTGTATAGCTTGAATCTATGATAATACATTGTAATTTATAAATGTATTTATTTTTCTTTATCTGCAGAAGCTAAAACTAAATGACAAATACATGTAGTCTAGTACAATACCTTTCAAATGTAGTGAAGTAGATAAAGTTGCATAATGTTAAAGTAAAGTTTGTCTAAATTGTTCTCAAGTTATTAAGTAAATGTACTTCTTACCACTGCTCAAGATACTTTTGTCCACAGTGTGGGGACTTATATCCCAACATTAAGGGCTCAGTTTTATCCACGTTAACCAATAAGAGTAGAGCTTAATGAATTATTAAGTTACACCTGTGTTGGACATGTCTGAATATCTAGAAGGTCAATAGTAATTTAATGTACCAATGCACAACATACAACATATTTTCGTAAAACCTTTTTCTAATGAGCATCATGGCTTTTACAATGCTGTCAGTGTGGTAAAAGCCTTGAAAGTGCATTTGCACCATGGAAACCCTGAGGTGGGAAACCGTGTCACATTTCTGGCAAGTCATAATAGGAAAATCACAGGTGTATTTAATTACATTAATGATGGCTGCTCTGCACTGAGTAAAGGTATTTAAGTCATTTTTACAGCAGACATTTCGCCTTGTCATTTGAGGAGAAGCCCAGGTGTTACTAATCACACATAACGATGGCTCTGGGCTATTCAAGTGTTGCATATTGAGTTACAATTAGCAAGCACGCTAAGCACCAAGGAGGCTAATAATGTGCTGTTTACACGAGAACGCAAACGGTTGTAACGGGTCCCAAGGTGGATAGATCTGCAACCGGAACGCTCTGGGGGGGCAAACGGCTCCGTGTGTACGCCCTATACCAGGGGTGTCAAACTCAATTTCATCGCGGGCCACATTGGAATTATGGTTGCACTCAAAGGGCCGGTTGTAACTTTAAGACTATATAAATATTTAATATATATAAAATGATGTATTATATTACATTACTGCCTCGGATTATTATCGGATAGGGTAATAACTTCATAATTAACTGCGTCTGAAAGCAGAAGTCTACGGCAAATAATTGCAAGCCTCTTCGGTGAGAATGTCACAAAATGATTTAAGAAGAAAAGCCAAATTCTGGAAAAAAAAGTAAAAAAAAAAATAAATGTGACATTTGGGAAAAAAGTAACATTTTGAAAAAAAAGCAACATTTTGAAAATAATTCTAATTCTGAAAAAAGTCAAATTCTAAGAAAAAAGGCATATTTTGAAGAAAAAAAGTCAAATTCTGATTAAAAAAAGTCAAATTTGAGATGCATTGTGGGACATGTAGTTTATGGGCAACGTGCTTCTGTAAATCGGCATGTAACCGTATAATAAACATATTATATTCTTTGCAAGCTCTTGTGGGCCACATGAAATGAAGTCACGGGCCGGATTTGGCCCCCGGGCCTTGAGTTTGACACCCCTGCCCTATACGATCATTTCCTGATAACGATGAAGCCATAGCCCCACCTCTCCCCACCTCTGCTGCTCACTGCTGTAGCATGGTTAGTAGCTGTCAGTAGCTACTGCTACTGTCAGTAGCTATTGCTACTAACCATGCTACAGATGTTAGTGCAAAATCTACAGCTCCTCTACCACAACCATCCGCAACAAGTGGACATTGAGAACTACATGAACTACATGTTGCTAAATCCACCGCGGGGCATAAACAGAAGGGCAACCATGGCAACCATGCTCGGGGGTCTTCTTCGCTGCTTTTGGTGCATTTTGTGGCAAAAGTACAGCGCCACTTACAGGCCCGGCATCTACTACAGCGTCTCCAGCGCTCCCGAGCGGTCTCATGTGAACGGAAGACTTTTTTTATATCGTATTCGGTTCGTTTGCGTTTCGTATGCGTTTGCGTGTAAATGGGGTCTAACAGGCTCTGTGTGTTGGGTTACAACACACACTACTGCTGTTGCTACAAAAAGAAAATCCCTTTAAGCTGATTTAAGGAAAAACA